CCCCAAAATGTGTGTGTGAGTTGTGTGTTTGATACGTTGTGTGTCTTGTTTACTGAATTCTGTTTACTTTCGTAATTGTTTTGGATTTTTGGTCCGCTTTGTGTTCTTCCATTTTCTGTGCTGAATCCAACCGTATAAAGAACGTGAATTTTGGGAGTACGGTTGGAAAGTTATAGGTCAAAAACTGGACAGAGGTCGAAACTGAAAAAACAGAGTTTCGACTCTGCCCAAAAACGACCGGTCGCTTTTACCTGACGACCGGTCGCTCATCACGTCAAATTTGAGTTTCGACTCTGCCCAAAAACGACCGGTCGCTTTTACCTGACGACCGGTCGCTCATCACGTCAAATTTGAGTTTCGACTCTGCCCAAAAACGACCGGTCGCTTTTACCTGACGACCGGTCGCTCATCACGTCAAATTTGAGTTTCGACTCTGCCCAAAAACGACCGGTCGCTTTTACCTGACGACCGGTCGCTCATCACGTCAAATTTGAGTTTCGACTCTGCCCAAAAACGACCGGTCGCTTTTACCTGACGACCGGTCGCTCATCACGTCAAATTTGAGTTTCGACTCTGCCCAAAAACGACCGGTCGCTTTTACCTGACGACCGGTCGCTCATCACGTCAAATTTGAGTTTCGACTCTGCCCAAAAACGACCGGTCGCTTTTACCTGACGACCGGTCGCTCATCACGTCAAATTTGAGTTTCGACTCTGCCCAAAAACGACCGGTCGCTTTTACCTCACGACCGGTCGCCAGACACTGTTCACGCACTATCTTAGCACTGTTCACAGGTGATAAAGTGGTGATAGAAAATTATGTTTGTGTGTTTCTTTAGTTTTCTTGTGTAGTTTCATTTCTTTTACACTTCTTTACTCATTTTTAGTTTTCATTTTGCATTTGTGCATTTGTGGTGTGTTAAATTAGTGTTCTTTACGTACTCAAATTAGAACTTATAGGAAGCCGACAAGTTCTTCGTGGGATCGACCCCGTACTTACATAATCTATACCTCAATAGATTCGTGCACTTACGGGTATTTTTAATTGGTTGTTTGCACATTAATTTGTGTCCTTTTAGGAATGCAACAGGTAGCCAAAATGGATCATTTACAATATTAAATGGGAGTGCTCTAGAGAAGAAAAAACAACAAATATTTCGACAAACTTCATTTCTTTCTTCTTGTTTGTATGCTGAATTTAATGTATTTGCCGAGTTTTTAAAGTGATAAATCTATCCATTGGTCCTTTTGATTTAGGTTGTGCTCTAAGAGCCTCATCAACTGCAACACTCCTAGTACTGGGGATTCCATATTCTTTGTCTAATGAAGTTTCCATACTCTGCCCTCCTCATGGACCATCTCCAATCTCTCTAAGCATTTCATTTTTATTTCTTTTTTCAAGCTGAAATTTTTTCAAAGTTGCGGCACACTCTTTTTTCACATGCTCAAGAACTTTCTTACACGGTTGCATACCATGATGAATTTGACCCAAATGATGCTTAAGTCTAGAAATTCCTCCACTGCATCTTTGATCACAAAATCTGCATCTCAAGTATGTTTCCCCCACTATTTCTTTTGCATACTTTCACGCAAGATCTTTTCGATTCATAGCTATAAAACAACACCATTAATATTTCTAAGATACAAGTATGATGCATGTACGTCAAAGTTCTACTATATCACATAAACGAATATGATAACTAAAGGCCCGTTCGGTAATGTTTTCGAAGAATGTTTTCTTAGAATATTTTCAGAGAATGAAAACAAGAAAACGAATTTGTATTTTCAGGAATTGAAAATGTGTCTGGTAGATTAATTAGAAAACATCTTCAGAAAACAAAAACAATGAAAATGTGTCTGGTTGTACAATTTGAAATAATAAATGTGAGTTATTTTTATGAAAATGTTTCCCATGAGAATGAAAACAACTTTTTTCTGTTTTCTACAAGTACACATGAACTTGTTTTCATTTTATGAAAACATTCTCAGTGTTTTCCGTTTTTAGGCCACCGAACGTGTTTTTGCCTCATTTTTGTTCTCTGAAAATGAAAACAATCCCTTAAAAGGTTACTGAATGGGCCCTAATATATTGAAGAAAAAAAATTATACGGAACTTCAAATTACAATTACGAAGAACTAGAGAGAAAAATAAAATGGCTTACTTATATATATAAATCCATGTGTCAATATATTAATTTAGAAAGAAAAAAAAAAGAAAAAAAAAAAAAGAAGATAAGTAGAATAAAGCTACAGCCGGCTGGAGTTTATTACAATAAAGGTAAGAAAAAACAAAACAGAAACTTGCGGTTTTTTTTTGTCAAAACACTCCAAGTGAAACGACGTCGTTTCATTTAAATTTTTTTAAAACACTACAATTGAAACGGCGTCGTTTCATTACAATAAACCTTAAAAAAACACACGCGAGTCGTCCTCCTCGCAGAGTCGCAGCCAATTTGCAGACTCGCAAAATTTCTTCAGGTTCAGAAGTGTCCAGATCTGGCGCGACTCGCTCCGCCTGGCCACGCCTTACAACGCCTCCTCACGCCTTCCCCGCGCTAAACGTGCAACTAGCGAAACAGCCTACCGCCTCGGGCGATTTCCTGCCTTTGAAAACACTGGTTGTGATATATCTTGGATGATGGTGAGTGAAATGACTGAGTCACTTTTTTCTTCTTCTTGGGATTGATTCTAGAGTAATAGAATATTAAATGTTTCGGTTTGAACATTTTGCTTGATTGGTTATTTACTATGCATATTTTAATTATTGAAGCTTACGCCTTTGTTTTCCTTGGCCTTTGAAAGCATTGAGTGTCAGAATTGGCTTTAACTTTGTACCTGGATGATCATATGTATATATATCTTACTCCTTTGTTTGCATTATATATATCTCTCTCTCTCTCACTCTCTCTGAATTTATGGTATTCTTGGGTGATCATATGCTTGTTTGATAAATTTGATTTGTTCTATTTTGGGACTGTAAATATTAATTAGCATTGTAATGGTGATGGTGGGAAAACAGGTTCTCGATATCGCATAGTTTTTGCCAGTGTAGGCTTTTCTTCATTTATTTTTTCTTTTGGCTCTCCACGAGGGTTCATTTGGCTGTACATCTTGATGGATAAGGAAGGCAATGCTACTGGTGATCATGAAGAGGCTTTACAGTATGCACTTGCTGTGTGCCTTGAAGAAGACATGGAAGAAGATGTCGAGGATGATGAAGAGGATGAAGAAGACGGGGAAGTGGACGAAGAGGATGAGGATGAGGATGAGAATACTTTCAGTTTCAAAGATGGGGTTAATCCCTTGGATTTTGTGGAAGACGATGCTTTTGGTGACCAAGTTTATGAGCAGTTTGTGGGAATGGGTTATGAGGCTCTAGCTGAAAGAAAGAGAAAAGCACTTGAGGATAGTCGGCCTGAAGGTTCTGTTAAGAAGGTCAGGCATGAGGATGTCACTGGAGCAAGCATGGAGGAAATAATGGAGGCCATGAATTATGGTATGCAAAGGAGAACAAGGAAGCCCAAGAAAAAAGGTAGACGGAAAGGATCAAAGAAGAAACTTACTCCTGAGATTACTCGAAGGCTTGGTGAAGCTACTCTTCACTATGTACATGGACATTATGAAGAGGCCATACCCATCTTGGCAGAAATTGTTAAGCAGGCACCAGATTTGTCCGAGACGTATCATACACTTGGACTTGTCCATGATAATCTTGGTAATGAATTGAAAGCCTTGAATTGCTTCACAATTGCTGCACTTTTAGCACCAAAAAATCCAGCTCTTTGGGAACTGCTCTTTGGCTGGTTCAATAGACGAGGCGACACTCATAAAGCCATTTATTGCCTTTCAAGAGCAATATCAGCAGATCCTAAAAATATTGACCTGAAATTGGGTCGTGCTTCACTCTACGTTAAGCTTGGAGATTATCATAAAGCTGCTGCATCGTATGAACAGATAGTACAAGCCTGTCCTGATAATGTTGAAGCACTCAAGACAGGAGCTGTGATGTATGACAGAAGTGGTCAGCATGAGCATTCTATTCATATTCTGGAGGCTTATCTCAGAGATCATCCAACCAAAGCTGATCCTAGTGTCATTGATCTGCTAGCTTCCATACTTATGGAAAATAATGCACATAATGAAGCAATTCAGCATATTGAGCATGCACAACTCGTATTCTGTTCAAATAAAGAGATGCCTTTGACAATGAAAATTAAAGCAGGAATCTGCCATGCTTACCTCGGAAATATGGAGAAAGCAGAAACTCTCTTTAGTGCTCTTGAAAAGCAGAGTGCAGATCAGGCTGACTTGATTGCTAAAGTTGCAGACTCATTTATGAGTCTTGGGCATTATAGTTCTGCATTGAAGTATTATTTAATGTTGAAAGGAAACACCAAATATAATAAAGGCTTTTTACATATGAAAATTGCTCGATGTCATTTGTCCTTGAATGACAGAGTACAGGCAATTTTGTGGTTCTATGAAGCTGTAAAGACACTTGAAGATAATATTGAGATCCGATTAACATTGGCTTCTATTCTTCTTGAGGAAGCCAGAGAAGATGAAGCCATTTTGTTGCTATCTCCTCCAAAAAATCTAGATCGCTTTGAAGCCCAAACAAATAAATCGGAACCATGGTGGTGTAATGGAAATGTGGAACTGAAGCTTTGCTACATTTACAGAGCTAAAGGGATGCTCAAGGAATTTGTTGATGCAATCTATCCTTTGGTGCACGAGTCGTTACGTATCGAATCTCTTCAGCAAAAGGTGAAAGTGAAAAAGAGGCTCACAAAAAGTGTTCTGTTAGAAAGAGTGAAAGTCCTGGATGATCACCAAACAGATAACCTATTATGCAGATCTAGACCAGTAGCTCCTGCATCGGATCTGCTGAAAGCTGCCAGAGCGAAGAAGTTGCTTCAAAAGAAGGCAAAAGTAAAGGAAGAAAAGAGAGCTGAGGCAATGGCTGCTGGAGTTGACTGGCAAAGTGATGATTCAGGTGATGATCCTCCAGAAGAAATACACCAAGAACCTCCCCTGCCAGATCTTCTCAAGGATAAAGAGAATCATGGCCTTATAATAGATTTGTGCAAGTCACTGGCTTCCTTGCATAGATATTGCGAAGCATTGGAGATTATAAATCTTGCTTTGAAATCGACTCGCAACATGTGTTCTGTTGCGGAGGAACTCCGGTCTCTTGGAGCTCAAATTGCATACAACACTCCGGATCCTGAGCATGGGGTTGACTGTGTAAAATACATTGCAGACCAGCATCCATACAGCAATGCTGCCTGGAACTGCTATTACAAAGTAATTACCAGATTAGATGACTGGTATGCGAGGCATTATAAGTTTCTACGTGGTAAGCGAGACAAACTCAAAGACTGTGTACCTCCGAGTATCATTTCTGGGCATCATTTTACTAAAAAGAGCCGTCATCAAGATGCTGCAAGAGAATACCTTGAAGCTTATAAATTATTGCCAGAGAATCCCCTGATTAATCTGTGTGTCGGTACTGCCTTAATCAACTTGGCCCTTGGACACAGACTTCAGAATAGGCACCAGTGTGTTGCACAAGGCTTAGCATTCCTCTACAAAAATTTGCAGCTTTGTGAATTCAGCCAAGAGGCTTTTTTCAACATAGGCAGGGCATATCATCACGTCGGTCTTGTGACGCTGGCAGCTTGGCACTATGACAAAGTTCTTGCAATGCATATGCAGGATTACCCCATCCCAAAACTTCCCCATGAAAAGCCAGAGTCTGTTGAAAATCTATTACCGGGTTACTGTGACCTTCGCAAAGAAGCAGCTTTTAATTTGCATCTTATGTACAAAAAGAGTGGAGCAGTTGATCTTGCTCGACAGGTCTTGAGAGATCACTGCACTTTCTGAGTAAGCAACTGATATTTAAACATCAAAATCTAGTTACTCTTTTATTTCTGTACGTATTAAGTGTATGGTTGATTCTCTAATAAATAACAGGAAATATTTTTCTTTGTTGCAGATAATCATGTTCCTGATCTCAGATATTGTGACTGAATTGAATGAGAGGGTGGCCTCCTACTCCCTAGTCTGGTTCTCTCGAAAATGCTGATTATTGTTTGTATCAACAGTTCATTTTGGCCTAACACAGCTAAAGAAAGATAGGGAAATGCTAAAGAGAAAGGCTTGTGTTAAACTCAGCAATTTGCCTATCACACTATTGAAAGCCAGTGCTAAATCCTTTTTTCTAATCAGATGCTAAAGCCCTTATGTAAGTTCAAAACAAGGGCCAACTCGCTTTTTTTCATGACTTCACGAAAGTAATATACATCACACACAAATGGTGAAGCACTTGATCAAGTCTTTTAATAGATAACAAACCAGGTTCTAAGCATTGTTTCAAACCATTTGGATGAAAATTTAGAAATACAAACGGTTGAGATTTAGAGGTTGTAAGTAAATGGTATGAATATAAATGATACAAAAAAATTTGAACCATTAATGAGATGAATTTTTGGTTGAATAGGTGATATAGATTGATGCTATAATGACAGTAAAACAATACAGAGGTATATGTAGTAATGTTTCTTGATAATGTTTTCGTGCATGATCACTATTTTGAAGTGTCAATCATGGTACTTTTTTATTATCTTGGTCAATCGTTCACAATTTCTATCATATATTTCACACCTACTCGCGTAAGTAACTCTATAACTGTGAGCTTATATTATGGGGGGGCCGGGGGTTGTGGGGTGCGAGTGTGTGTGTGGTAGACTTGTTGTGGGATAGAATGCATTGTTGGGCTTCATTGTGGGGTTCCGTTTCTAAAGAGCTTTGTAACATTTCATTTTTCCTTTCATGCAGATTGGGGGGATGGATGTTTGTTAGTGATGAGTAGGTAGCTGGTTTTTAGTGCTACAAAAGAGTAATCAGATTTTTATTTGTTGTTTATGTTTTGTATTTGTTGTTCTCTAGTTTGTGATGGATAAGTGAAGATGTGTTGTGTTTCTAGACTTATGATTGCATAATTGCATGAAAACCCTTCTAACTTATGAATTTAAATGTTGCATTTACATCTAAAATTTTAGCTAATTTCTTCTCTCTGTAGCTAATTTTGGAACTTTGGAGTCTTGATTTCTGACAGGGTGTACCTATACCATTGAGGTGCGGTGACAAGTGTTCTACATACAAGCCTTCCAGGGTTCATCAGGCTGGGTCTGCAGAAGGTGTGTTTTAAGGATGGTAGGTTGCATACATTCGTATTGCCTTATTATCTTATTCATGATTTTTTCGCACATGGATTGGAATTTTTAAACTTTTTCTGCCAAAATTGGATGCAGGCTCATTACTTTCTGTGGATCATTAACTTTGTTGGTTATTGGAACAATAAGCCCTTTTTTATGCTTGCCTTGTGTGCAAGTTAGGAAGCTTGTATTCTATATTAAGTTCATGGAGCAAAGGCTATCGCGTATCCAGCAGAGGAGTGCTTTTCTTCATAATCTCATAAACCAGGTTCTCTATGTTTGTGATTGCTATAGAAATGAAAACAAAGTAAAATTATATTGAAATTTGATATGTTTTTTGAAAAAACAAAAATTTGGAATTGAAATGGTGTTGGACCTGTTGTTTGAAGACAGCCTGATGCCTTGGCAGAAGAGCATGCGAGGGCTAACAACCCGTCTCTGCGCTTCCATGGACCTTATAAATCAATTAAGAGCCAACAAGGAGGTATTGAAATTAGAGCAAAAACTTCAATTGAAACTGCTATCGTTGCCCTTTTAACAGATAATGTATTACAGGATTCACCACCTGCTAAGTGCTATTGCCTAGTATGTGATAACACGTTTTGATTATAACTTCTTTAGGGTAGATTAAGCTTAGTGCAGCAATCTCAGGAGCTAATGCTGATGAGGACCACCATCAGCATATATGGACACCACTTTTGTTTACTGTACCTTTGAATATATTTTTTTATATATAACTGTCACATTTTGACTTCATATTCTATGTACACAATACAGAGGTATATGTAGTAATGTTTCTTGATAATGTATTTATGATCACTATTTTGGAGTGCCAATAGCAATTATTTTTTATTGTATTTATGATCATATATGAATTTATTTATTTACTAATTATGGTGATTAGTGATGTCACAAGCGTAACTCTAGTGTTCATTTATTTCACAAGTACTTTTAAATCCTTAGCCGATGTGACTTTCTCATCATCTCTCTCAAAGACTCTTTAACTCCCTAACCTGAGAAAACTAGAATACTGCCGCGTGTAAACCTGTGGATATCACTTTGATCCAACAGGGCCCACAAATTGCATGTTACCAGGCTCAAGTTTGTGGAAAACACAAACTTTGTGGGCCCAATGACACTGTGATAGGTACACATATATTGCATTTACGTGGCATCTCATAATCTGGCTCCTTCATTTTAGCAAGAGAATTAGCTCAAAGACCATGTGCGTTCAGAGCCAAACTGAGCCCGTACGGTCACATCAGCTCTTGCCCTAAATTGTAGGTCCTGATTTCATGTGCTGATTAAGCTTCTGGTTCCTCCAAATTGGGGCATAAATATCAATGTCATTTCAACTAAGATTTTGTAAGGTGAGGTGTCAAATGAGAAATAACGTGCCAAAAATATTAATTAGAAGAAAGAAAATGAATCTTTTGGGATGAGATTCTAGTACCATGTCATGATCGAGGAGAAAAATGTATCATACTTCACTGTCGATGGTTTGGATCTTTGTGCTCATACCCAGAAAATGGGAGGTTGAGTGTTTGCTAGTTTATATATTGTTTATACTATATCTGAACTGCAATCATTTCCCGACACGTGAAACATGGTACATACAAAAGGATCCGTAAAGCCCAGACAAAGCATTGAGGCCCATAAAACGACCATCGGTAACGATGGTCTTCAGCAACCTTACTGCACAAATCATCGGCAAGGTGAGCCTTTGGCAACACTACTTGTCAATCCAACCAAAGAAGGCGCATGTTTTATCAGGCTAGATAAAGGACATGTGGCAGCCTCCCAGGCAATGCCCATAGTCCCACATCGAAATCTCACTCAAGGTGTACACCTCTCAAGATCTATAAAAAAAGGGTGCAAGTCTCCAAAATGAGGTAACTGTTTCATTCAGCTACTTAGCCCTTACTCCGTCCAAATTGTTATTCACTCTGTTCTTAAGCTAACTTGAGCATTAGAGCCTTCGGTTAATACCACACTAGTGCCCAAGGTTTTACCATAGCTCTTTGTCTTGCAGATCTTCCTCATTTGCTGCCCAAGGAGGCAGAATGAGACGCAACATCTTTAAGTTGAGCCCAAAAGTGCTCGACTATTTTTGTGCATCAACATATATGATTGATGTAGTCTTCTTAGTTTAGTTCAAAAATTCTTTGTGCAAGATGGTCATCCTTTGTTAAAAATGAATTAGTGATAATGTGTCGATAATATCTTCATACGTTTTGTTATTGACATGTCATCAACAATGATATTGACGCCTTATCGATATCATATTGACAATACAATTAGTCCTATTTTCACGACCGACAATACTCTATCTTAGTTTTAAATTTCTTAAAATAAGATATTGTCATGGACTCCACCTCCCTACTATATTCATTATTCGATTTGACCTCCCAATATATTTCTTGTAGAAAGGATGGACATTCAACTTCTTTTGCTGGTTTTGCTCCGTGAGGGAAGAGATGGAGCGTTAATTACTCATGTCCCAAAAAAATCCAATTATAGCATTGTTCAAGTCAAAACTTGTCATACCTTTGCACAAGCATTAGTCTAATTTTAAACTATACGTTAATGTTGTCAGATCATGCTTATGTGAATGAATAAGATTTAAGAAAAGTAAAACCAGTCACCCGAAAAACTACAAATGTATTTTTTGGTCTTCAAGTAACTTCTCAATTGTGAAAAAGGAAGGTTTGGCTTCTTTTGACCTAAATTGTGAGGCATCGCAATCTAGCTCTCTAAGTCTTAAAGTGTGGATTTACCTTTCCTTCAACTTTATAGGGCGATGCTAATGGAAACAAGGGCCTTTGTCTGGTTGAAAAGAGAAAGCTGTCAAAACACCAAAACTTCGAAAAGCAATATTCAACCTCTGCAAGTTTTTACTTTGAAGTGATCCTTAAGAAACACCCACCTTTTCTCTCTCCAAAGAAAAAAAAAGTATCCAGCTTTCAAATATTGTTCTAACAAGGACATGTAACTATTAATTTATAAGTACTTCATAATCTTTTTTTTTTTTGGCTAAAATATATAGAACATTAAAAATCACATGCAATTAAGGAGGAACAATACTGGCTTTAGAATTAAAAGTTATCGTTTTCCCAACTCCAATTAATTTAACAACACCATCATAGTTAATAATTCAACAAAGGAAAGATGTGTGACCAAAAAATGGAAAACAGAAAAAGAGAAAATGTAGTCATATATCCTTTTAAGCTCCTCATCTCATTCAGTCCGAGACTAGCAAATTATATATAATTATACGTATTAAGTTGACGCATCGATAACCCATAATTGACAATTGAATGTGTAACAATTGCTCCCTAAGGAAAGATCATGGATTCGAATCCTAGTAACTATGAATTTACTATATTATTCTTAAAAAAAGTTTACGCATCGATAATTGAATGTGTAACAATAATTTAAAGGTCATCTCAATATTCGCTGGCCCGTCCGTATATAAGTACACCCTTTTGTGTTTATAAATGTGTTGTACAATCAATTTTCAGATGTTTTGTTGATTTAAGAAACGGGTTTGAATCTATAAAATCATATTGACCAAGTAACGTTGTGAAAAAGCAAATAATGAATGAGGACTTTCCAATTTTTCACGGCAAGTCATGAAAGACATTTCTGCATGCTTTGTCATGATGATGATTGATGTAGAAATTGAACAATTTGTCATTTGTTACCAATTGTTGCTAGCTAGATAACAACAACTCATGGCAATGGGGTCAAATTTAGTGAACAAGACCTTGATTTGCAGACTAGTCGTTTCAAGTTTAAAGTTCAAAGTTTGAATTTTCATGGCAGTATTGTTCCTTGTATGTTTTTTTTTTCAAAGAGAAACCTCCTCCCTAATAATTTAGACTATTGCTTGTACTAAAAAAAACCCAATAATTCAAAAAACAAAAAGATAACAATAACTAATAATTAATTAATAGCATCTATCTGTCATTAATTTACAGATAAAAATGAAATAATCACAAACGATAAGGGTTGGTGACATCGCATTAATAAAGCAGTTGGTAGTTAAAATTGCAATGCATGATGGCATATATATAGTCTCACATGCAGAATCACATGGATGTGATACAAATTTATTGGTACAAATGAATGACCAATATTGATTAACTTTGGCACTTCAGTAATAAGACTCATAACTTTGGCATTTAAGTAATAAGACCCATAACTTTGGCATTCAGCTAGAAACTATTAGAGCAATCTCCAATAGTAGTAGTAAATTAAATTTTTTAAATTAAAATTTGTTGATTTATATGGTAATTTGAAAATATTTTTCACATATGAAAACATGTGAAAAATGTCTATGTATTTATTATCTTAAAAGAAAGAAAAAAATGCATGTTTTTAACATTTTCAAAGTAAGTTTTGTTTTTCTAAAGTAAGATTAAATGTTTTGAAGAGTCAAAGTTAATTTACTGTCTCAATTTTGATGATTGAGTTCGACAAGATTGTTGGAGAGATTTTTTATGATGCGCTCACCTATTTGAACATCCCAAAGTGATTAAAGAGGCTATTAGAAACCACAATGAATCTACTCAACTATATACATGAATCTTAGCTAATTGTGATGGATATCGACAATCAAGTTAATTATGAGTATATTGCTTTTGTGTCATATCACATGTCCATACAAAAATAATTCTACCATGTGGTGTGGTACCAACTTCTTCTTATATTGAGAAGAGAAGTAATTATTAAATCACAACTACTTCAACGTTTTATATTTGGACACTTCTAGTGAATTATTGATCATTAAAAAGGGTCTTGAGTTGCAAATTAGTGGTTTTAGGTTTAAATTTTCGTGGTACTGTGATAGTGTGTGTAAAAAAAAGCCCTCCCTTTTATAGTTTAGATTATCGTTTGTATTTAAAAAAAAAAAAAAAAAAAAACCATTACCAAATAGCATATGGTGGATGATAATTTGGATGTTGAATTGGGAACTATCTCTGGAAATTTTAAAAAAAAAAGGTCCATATCAGTTTGATGGCTGCTTAATTGTCAATGTTTGTCCACATCAAAGCAAAACCGATCAAATATTGCAATTAAATCTGTCGAATTTCAGAGAAATGCTCAGCCCCTCTCACTTGACAATTGAAGTGATGTAACCCCTCTACGTAACTATTTAATTAACAGTGCCATGATATAACATGCGTACAAGAGCTCCTAAATTCGAGTCCCTCTCTCATATGTATGAAAGAACATGACATAACACGCGCACAAGAGGTCCTACATTCGAATCCCTCTCTTATGTATTTATGAAAGGGAAAATACGCATTAAAAAACGAATAATAGAAATAATAATAAATAAAACAGTTGTCGGCACAAATACTGAGTGACGCTCGCAAAAAAGCCATACAAAGAAAAAAGAGAGAGAGCGAGGGACAAATAAGGAGTGACGCTCTCGCAATCTGTCGGTGATATTAGCGAAAAGCCAATATCAAAATCCGTAATTAAGTTCCAAAACCGAGGGCCAAAACTAACCCATCTAACTAATTAGCTCACACATTCTCACTCCGTCTCTCTCTCTCTCTCTCTCTCCCCTATAAAATTCCCTCTCTTTCCCGCGGCTTTCAACGCGGCTTTGCTTTTGGCCTTTCCTCTTCTCTCTTTTTTATTTCTTTACTTTAATTTTAACGTTCCGAATTAAAAAGAAAGAGAATTTTTGGGAGGAAAATTTATAAATAAAAAGAGCGTGATCTGATTGAGTTTTGGGTCTTCCGAA